TTATAATATTATAGGTTTTTATTTTACACTTAATGAAATAGTAATTTATTGTCATACATATACATCTATACAACTTATTTTAGATTATTCCGGGCTCCATTTGCAAGCCTCGCGAATAATCTCATTACCTTCCTGAGCAAGATCACGTCCTTCAAAAGTTAAAATTGTTCAATTAAAAATACTTTAAAAATAACTTCGTAAATAAATAGTGAGCTCGTACAAAATATTTTGCCACTAGTATATATATTAAATAAGTGGTCACTCGACTATACATGTCTCACAAGACAACTCTATAATGGGGAATTGCAATATTCCAATAAGAGAGGTCCCAATAGAAAAAGATGAAAACAAGTTGCAAAGGCAATTATAAGTTGAGTTCCCATTATGGTATGGGCTGTGAGCATTTGTCACTTGCAGAAAAAGTCATGAACAGTGCAAATAAAATCAAGGGAAATGGGTTAAAAATGTCCTTAAATTCTGCGAAAGGAATAAAAATGTCATTTGTTTGTATTTTGGTCCAAAAATACTTTTATCGTCAATACTTTGGTTGAAAAATATCCTTATTGTTATTTAATGGGTCATAAATGCTCATTTTTCAAATAAAATATATTATTTATTTTCTTTTTTAATACATTCTTTTTCTAATAATATTTTTTAAATTAGCAAATATTTAATCTTACTTCAATTCAGAAAAAAATAAAAAAATTCTTATCTTATTATAATTATTTTTTATGACGTATATACTATGATCTTATATATATGACATATATTATCTGTCGAAATGGTACATGAAGTTATTCTATTTTAACTGATAAAATGAGATTATGAAGAAAAAAAAATTCCTACATTTTTATTTGTTAAAGTGACTTTAAAAAAAAAAAAAACCAAGAACACTGTTGTTTAATAATATGTTAATTAGGAAGAAGATATGTTTAAAAAGAAAAAATATATATTTATTTGAAAAAGGGCATTTTTGACCAATTTAGTAACTATAGGGGAATTTCTGGAGCAAAGTAATAAGTGCAAGGACATTTTTGAACCAAAGTATTGACAGCAAAGATATTTTTGAGCCAAACTATAAACGGTGGACATTTTTGTTCCTTTCACATAGTTTAAGGGCATTTTTGATTGGTTGAAGTCAATACCTCTCTTTTTAAAATGCATTTGAAACTAAGTTATAATTTGAAGTTTATGAATTTCAAAACTTTTTTATCATATTGTAACTTGTTTTAGTAACTGAGTTTGTAATTGAATATTTATACATGTATAACAAGGTTTTAATAAAAATATAGAATCTAATCAAAAAGTTAAATGGAATATACTAGCTAGCATATTAAGTACTTCGCTCTTTTAATTTATTTATTTTATCCCCAAAAGAGTGTTTTTGATTTCATATTTACTAAGTTTTCAATTCTATAGTCTACGTGACAATTTAAGACTACAAGATATTTCCTTCGATTTTATATAAGTTGATCATATTGCTAAAAATAGTTATCCCATATTAGTGGTCCGTCCTATCAAATTAAGAAAACATTAATTAATTTTTTCCTATATTACTCTTGCAATTAATTCTCTTTTAAAGTGTTCACATTTGTTTGTAAAATTCTCAAGAAGTTTTTTAAGGGATGAATTAATAAAATTATCTTCTTATTTATGATTTTGAAATATGGTGTAAAAAGGAAAGTGATCAACTAATATGAAACGTAGGAGTACGTCTTTACTTTAAGGAAAAAATTGCATATCTACACATCTTTAATTACCATATTTTTTATTATTCCCTATCATTCCAAAATATTACAAAAATCACTCTTTTTCCTCCAAAACCCACTATTCGAGATACATAACTCTTCAACTTCCAAATACACGTTTCTCTTCCTATTTTCACTCCATCAATCTCTTTCTATTTTTACTCTCTCAATCTTTACTTCCTTCATCTCATTTTGGAATTTCAAATTTGTCTAGTCAATCAATTTCAACTTTCTCAATAGGTAGTTTTTTTCTTTTCCAACTTATAGTTGATCCTTTTTTTGTTCTATTTTTTTTATTTTTTATTATTCATCTACAAAGTTTCGATACATATAGATGATGCTCCTTCTTTTCGACTTTAAAATTGACTGTGCAAAAAATGCCCCAAAAAGCAGAAAAAAGTCAAATTGTTGGTGGCTCCAATAAGGACTTTGGGTCGAATTGTTTAAAAAAAATTTGATTTTTTGTTGTTCATCTTTTTCTAATACAAAAAAAGGGAGGGGGGGGGGGGGGGGGAGGGGGCGGT